ACTACAATCCTCAGGTGTCAGCCTGCTTAGTAACTAGAATTACAGATGTGAGTCACTGGCACCTGACTACATTTAGATTCTTTAAAAAATAAAAAGATTCTTTGTGTGTCCCTCCCCCACAGTATAACCCCTGCTTTCACTGTATTTGATGTCGGTATAATTTGTGGAGGGGAAGGGGAAAAACAAATAGTTTAAATAGGGATAAATGTGGACCCATTGCAACAATGAGATGTACAAGTCGTTATGTCGAAAACGAACATTACAACTTTTGTGTGTGGCGGGGGTGGGGGGGAGGGAAGAAGGGGCGCCGGGGGAGGATGGGAAGGGATGGGAAGGGGAAACAAAGGAGGAGGCTATAATGCTTGATAAGAAATGTATTCATTATCTTGCCCATGTAATTGTAACTCCTCTGTACAGTATTTTCACAATAAAAAAATAAAATAAAATAAAAAGATTTCCAGGTGCCAGTGGCTCATACCTGTAATCTTAGTTACTCAGGAGGCTGAGATCTTAGGTTCATAGTTCAAAGCCAGCCTGGGCAGAAAAGTCCCCATGAGACTCTTACCTTCAACCAACTACTCAAAGACTGGAAGTGGCATTGTGGCTCAAGTGCTAGAGCACTAGCCTTGAACACAAAGAGGCTCAGGGACAGCGCCCAGGCCCTGAATTCAAGCCCTACAACCAACAACAACAAAAATAAAACAAATAAAAATAAACATCAATAGATGTTAATACATGCTTACTGTCCAAAATTTAGAAAATATAAAGTACAAAGCACCAGCAAATACAACTACTCATAAGTCTACTTCATATAGACAATCACCTCTGGCACCATATCATATTTTCTTCTAGTCTTTTCTCTTCTGCATAAAGTAACAATATTTAATCAATATTTGTATGAAATTATTTCATATGAAATAAAAATGTTTTGTCTTTGAAAAAAAATATATTCATATAAAAACAGATCTTGGTGGCACTTCTAACCCAATTTCTGAAAATAACATTTTAGAGTGGCGCTGTAGCTCAAGTGGTAGAGCGCTAGCCTTGAGCTGAAGAGCTGAGGGACACCGCCGAGGCCCAGAGTTCAAGCCCCACGACCGACAAAAAAAAAAAAAAAAACGGGCTGGGAAGGTGGCTCAGTGGTAGAGCACTTGCCTTGCATGCCTGAGGCCCTGGGTTCGATTCCTCAGCACCACATAAGGAAGTGGCGCTGTGGCTCAAGTGGTAGAGCGCTAGCCTTGAGCTGAAGAGCTGAGGGACAGTGCCCAGGCCCAGAGTTCAGGCCCCACGACCGGACCCCAAAAAAAAAATTTTTAGGCTTTATTCCTCTATTTATGAGAAGCATAAATACTTATATTCACTGTGAGGCTGATTTTTCCTCCTTTCTAATAATATATCTTGTTCTTTATTTTACTGTTATGATACACATTTTAAAATATAATGGATATGGTTTGAAGATACTTGCATGGCTATTAAAAAAGCTGGCAATGGAGCCAGACTTGATGACTCAATGAGCTGGTGGCTCACAACCTATAATCTTAGCTACTCAGGAGGCTGAGATCTGAGGATTGCTGTTCAAAGACAGCCCAAGTAGGATAGTCTGTGAGATACTTTTTTTTTTTTTTTTGGTGCTGATTCTGAGGCTTGAACTCAGGGTTTGGGTGCTATCCCTGATCTGCTTTTGCTCAAAGCTAGAGCTTTCCCACTTGAGCCACAGCTCCACTTCTGGCTTTTTTGGTAGTTTAGTGGAGGTAAGAGTTTCACAGACTTTCCTGCCTGAGTTGGCTTCAAACTGTGGTCTTCAGATCTCAGCCTCCTGTGTAGTTAGGATTACAGGTGTGAGCCACTAGCACCCAGCTTCTATAAGATTCTTTTTTATTTTTTGTCAGTTGTGGGGCTTGAACTCTGAGCATGGGAGCTGTCCCTGAGCTCTTCAGTTCAAGGTGAGTGCTCTACCACTTGAGCCACCAAGCCACTTACAGTTTTCTAGTGATTAATTGAGATAAGAGTCTGGGGGTGGGGAGATGGGAGGGCAGGTATGGTAAGGGGAAACAAAGGAGGAGGAAACAATGCTTGATAAGAAATGTACTCATTACCTTGCTCATGTAATTGTAACCCCTCTGTATGGTATTTTCACAATTAAAAACAATAACAACAATAATAATAAAGAGTCTCACAGACTTTCCTTCCCGGGCTGGCTTTGAACCATGATCATAAGATCTCAGCCTCCAGAATAGCTAGGATTACAGGCATGAGCCACCATCTCAGGCTTCTATGAGATTCTAATCTTGTTGGGCTGGGAAGGTGGCTCAGTGGTAGAGTGCTTGCCTCACATGCATGAGGCCCTGGGTCAATTCCTCAGCACCACATAAGCAGAAAAGGCTGGAAGTGGCACTGTGGTTCAAGTGGTAAAGCGCTAGCTTTGAGCTGAAGAGCTGAGGGACAGCGCCCAGGCCCAGAGTTCAGGCCCCATGACTGGACCCCCCTCCCAAAAAAGAGAGAGATTATTATCTCCTGTTAACCAGCAAAAAGCAAAAAGTAGAGTTGAGGTTCAAGTGGTAGAGTACAATCTTGAGTGGAATAAGAACATAGATAGTATCCAGGCTCTGAGTTCAAGCCCTAGTACCAGCACACACACACACACACACACACACACACACACAGAGGTCAGTAACAAGAGGCAAAGAGCTAGGAAGGTGGCTCAGTGGTAGAGTGCTTGCCTTGCATGCAGGAGGCCCTGGGTTCAATTCCTCAGCACCACATAGGCAGAAAAAGCCAGAAGTGGTGCTGTGGCTCAAGTGGTAGAGCGCTCGTTCTCCTTGAACTGAGGGACAGCGTCCAGGCCCAGAGTTTAGACTCCATGACCAAAAAAGAAGAAGAAGAAAAAAGATCAGCAAGTGCCTTCCTATCAGAGATTGTCTTAGGCTATATGGGACGATGATGATAAATTCTATCTACTGTTTTGGGCTGACGCTAGGCTGTAGTTTTATTTTTGTTCTTTTTAAAATTCTTAATGATTTGGGAATACACATCACCCCCAAATTATACAACATTTGCTAATTTTCCATTTGGCTTTGTCTTTCTTCCTGATTGAATATTTTGGCTTTGGGAGAAATCATTAAGTCATAAATTCTAGTCTAAACTGTTCACCTGATTTGGTTGTAACAGAGTGATTTGATAATTTGACCTGTTAAATTTTTATTTCACTGTTTTCTTTTCGAAGCAGAGCCTTCTTAGTAGCCTGGGCTGTCCTCAAACTGACATTTCTCCTGCTTCAGTCTTCCAACTGCTAGGATTAAGTGTATGTTACCACTGACCTAAAATTTGGTATTTTTAGGTGATGGTTTAATTTCTTATCAATAAAGTCAATATGGTACAACAAGTAAGTTGTACTTATTTGATTGTGAACTTTATTCCTGATTAGGTATTGGGTTAATAAGTTATTTTTTTGTGCCTTCAAATTCTCCAACTAAACACTGTATACAAAAATCAACCCAGCTTTCTATATGTAAACAAAGAATAAAACAAAAATTAACATGTCTATACAAACCATATATTATATTCATCTCTGTCCTTCCAGGATAGCTTATAGTACAAAAATGTAGGAACATCAATGATCATTGAATTGGCGATATTACTCTCTATGCAGTGTTCAATAGTCTTCTAATAGTAAGATTCCTGAGAAAAAACTTCTGCATCTAAATTCTTTGGTTGTACTGAAATATATCAAATATTCCTCTTAATAAACCATAGCCTGAAACTTGTTTTCTGCACAAAGCCTTTGTTGTGTATGTGTATTTTTTTCTAACAGGATTTGACCTGTAACTATTACTGAGAATTTTCTTAGAGAGTTCAAAGCATTTTACAGGGATCATCTCATTTATCCCTCCAAAGTAAGGCAAAGGCATTATCTCTACTACGGACTGAGAACACTAAAAGGCCTAGATAGGTAGTGTGTGTGTGTGTGTGTGTGTTATTGTTTTGTTAAGATGAAAAAGTAATTCCTGGGCAAAGCCAGATTCCCATTTGACCTTGTTACATGATGCTTCTATAGCTTTTGCACATTGTAATACAATGTAGAGACTTCCCCTTCTTCACTCTGGCTCTTCTAGGTATTGTATAATTTTCAGAATTGATTTCTCACTCATTCCTGCTTCCTGAAAATGGGTGTTTAAAGATGTAGAGTTCACTAGCTCTCAAGACTGGGTACTATGGGTCTAATGAGTGGTTTGGAAAAACAATCCATAGTGACTTTAGAGAATCAACTTGTACTTGGTGGTGACTAGTGTGGAGTCCTAGCTCAACCGTTTCATGACTGTTTGGGGAGAGTTAGGGACTCAGGATCCAGCAGATTGAAACCTCCCAAAAGGACAGAACTTTGGTTCATACTCCAAGTGAGAACTCAGGCACTGGAACCTGCCAACTTCTAGGGCTGCACGTTCATGGGGCTGTACGTGGTCTGTGGGAAGGAGGCATTGCCTGGGCCAGCAGAAAAGCCACCCAACGAGATGCTGCCTGAGGGCAGGGGCTCCAACTCGAGGCTCCCGAAGGTGGAGGTTTCTGTGGCCTTGTGATGAGCCTCGAACAAGATAATAAAGACATGTACTTCCACCAAGTGCTCCAGGAGATGCGGGGTGCCTTCGCCCCGGGGCCTGGCCATACTCCGACGTGGCTCCAGCGCCGCAGGTGTGAGGGGCGGGCCCAGGCCTCGGCCCGCTCCGCCCCATGTGACCCGGTCCGGCATGGTGTCGCCTCCTCCCGGGGCGGCGGCGGCGGCGGCAGCAGCGGCTCGGGCCTGGCTTCGTGTCGGGACGGCCCCGGGGCCCCTCATGGGCAGCCAGGGCCACTCGGGTCCCCCCGAGAACCGCGGGCCCGGAGAGGGCGAGGGCGGGGAGGCGAGGAAGGTGCAGGAAGCGAAAGTCGCACGGGGGAAGCGAAGGAAGGGAAAGGGGAAGGGGAAGGGGAGAGTGGGCTCAGGCGGAAGAGGAAGTGGGGCGGAAGGGAAGCCAGGGCCGCAACCTGCGACGGAGACAGCGGGGCCGGGGGCTGAGACACCCGGAGCCGGCCCGGGGCAGGAGGGAGAGGCAGGCGGGAGAGTGCAGGAAAGGACGAGAAACGCCGGCAAGCGAGCTGAGTGGAGCGCAGGGACCGGGAAGGAGGAGGAACGGAGAGTCAGGAGCCGGCGGCGGGAGGATGGCAGGCCCGGGAGAGCACAGGGACGAGGGGGTCAGGCGTGGGGCGGCATCGCAGGAACCCGGGCGGCCATGGCGGCTGCGGCCGAGGCGGCGGCCGTGGAGCCGGCTGTGCGCCCCGCTGCGGGGCCGGCGCTCTGGCGCCTGCCCGAGGAGCTGCTGCTGCTCATCTGCTCCTACCTGGACATGCGGGCCCTCGGCCGCCTGGCCCAGGTGTGCCGCTGGCTGCGCCGCTTCACCAGCTGCGACCTGCTTTGGCGCCGGATAGCCCGGGCCTCGCTCAACACCGGCTTCACGCGGCTCGGCACCGACCTGTAAGCGCCCATTCTGCCGCCCGCTCTCCGCCTCGGGCCGTCCAGCATCCTGGGAAAGGGCGGGGCGCCGCGGCCTGCTTGGCCTGGGTCGTGTCGCACCCCAAATTCCAACGTCCACACCAGACCTCGGTTGAGACTCCTCCCCGAACACCTTCGGGGTTCTCAGTGCCTCTTCTCTCCAAAAAGATTCCTCAGTCAGTGACCCCCTCTTGCCCCCCAACACATCTCGGGTGGCTCCTCAAAATTAGCCATCTTAAGCACTCCCTTCAACTTTTAATTGTGGCTTTTCTCCTACGTTTGACCACCCCCTTTCCTCAGCCCAGAGCTGCGAGGATCTGGCCTGTGGTCATCCATTAGGCTTTGGACCAATCTTCTAGCTCAGATCTATCACCTAGGTCAACTAAGTGACCTAACAGTGTGCTTTTGTGGACGTGCATCCTCCTCTCTTCGAAAGATTGTTAAGCTTCAGGACTCAGATAAAATCAGATAGGGAGAAAAGGGCTCAGATCCTAAAAGAAAGCCATTAGACCTAGTGTCAGCATAGTTCATGCCTTGATGTAAGGTAGGAGGACCTGAAAGAGGTATGAGCAGGAGGCTGGATTAGAACTAGGCCATGTCTAAAATATTACTTTGACCTGTTTGGGGTAGCATATGAGACCTTTGAATAAACTTTCCCCAACTACTTAAGCTGTTAAATATAAATAGGAAGAGGGAAAAATGTGTGGAATTGGGGAAATAAAAGATTTCAGATTGCACATTACTGAACCTGACTATATTAGAGTAGAATAAAAAGCCTTTTTTAAAACAAAAATTCATATAATCACCTCTACTCAGCTATTTCCATTGGGACTTTTTTTTCAGTTGCAAGCCTCCCCCAGTTGTAATCTTACCGAACCTTACATAATAGGTACATAATGAATAATGCATTTTGGAATAACAAAATTGCTATTTAAGTCACGTAGATACACTTATCTTTTGGAATTAGTATCTTATAAAATCTCAAGATACACATTAGATCAAAGATTATGGTTTGCAAAGCTGTTGGATCAAGTTAGAGTATATCAGCAAAGAATGATCAAACAAATTACATGTATGAATTTAAAATGTTTTTGTTACATTAGTAACATTAAAGTATAATGATATAATGGTATATTATAGTTGTATTATTTTGCATCTTTTACTATTGGCCATTATAAATATTTTCCCATGTGTTTGTTTACACTATTAGATTATCTTTTCCATTTACTATTGAGGTCTTTGTGTTTTAGTTAAAAATCTAGAATTTGTGAGTCATAGATATTAGACTATAGTCTATCATCTTTGTTGTATTTTTTAACTTTTTTTTTTTTTTTGCTGTTCTTATCTATTAGAAGCTTACACTCTAGAGTCTGCCAACCTTGGAAATTTATGTCTTCAACAGACTTGATAAATTTTCTGTTTGATTTCCAACTAGTTTTTTAATAAGTTGTTTATAAATCGTTAACACTTTCACCAATATCACTTATATAGTTCTTTAGTTTCTACTATACCTTTTGTTAAATTATTCTTTTGTTTCAGAAGGCTTACTTTGAGTTTTTACATATGTACATATACATACATGTGCACATATATTTGATCTATATCTGAATTCTAAATTTTTCCCATACCATTTTAAGTGTTTTTGCTTTTTGATAGTGTAATATGTGTTAGGCTTAGATTATGCTTGTTTGATTTATATTTGTGTGTTGTGCCTCCAGTTATACTTAGTTTCCCGCTGAAAAAGTTCTGTGCTTTTTTTAAGGACTTCAGTGGTTTTAACTCTAAAGTTCTGCACTTACTCTTACAGATTTTTAAGCATTATCATTTTGCTTGTATTGCAGTGCAGTTTCTGTTTTAGTCTGTTTTCCAGCAGAATATGATTGATGTATGGGATTATTAATATTCTTGTGTATGTTTTGAACCTGATTATTTTGTGTAATGCTTCCTATTTTAGTATGAGTTTGTTGATGATAATTATTTTCTGAGATTAAAAAAAAAATCACCTGAACCTTTTTTGGGGGAATGCAGCCTTTCTCCTTGCCAAAATAGTGTTTTTCCTTTTATTTTCTTACCAGAACAACTAAAAGGATATTATAAGAGAAGTTAGCTAAGATGACTAGAATCCAAGCTAACTATGACAAAGTTCGGCTTTCTCTGGCGATTAAATGGATGTTTACTTGGCTTTCCCTTTCAAGTGTTCTAAAAAAGATATGGGACTGATAACAATGAAATGAAAATAAGCTTATAATGTAAAGTGCTTTGAGACTGCGAAATGATTTTATGGCTTTACTATTATTAGAAGCATGTCCTATGATGAGCTATCCTTAACTTTCCAGAGAAGTTGTTTTGTCATAGCACTTGATAAAGAGCAGGGTCACTTCTCAGCTTTCTGGGTTGAGGGTATGAGTTCTTCTTGTTTTAGCAGGTGGAGAGAATGTTTAGCAGTATGGCCTGCTTCTGGACAGATTAAGAAACTTAATAAACCATGAAGAGAAGTGGTTGTCATCCTTGGGGAGAGAAGTCACACACCCAAGTTCTCTTAGGGCCTTAGGGGGTCAGGCCCAAAGTGCAGCAAGAGTTTGGTTTCTTAGATAGTACATGACTTGTTCATTCCTTGGGCTGATTTTACTGCAGAATGGGTCAGTGGGATAATATGTTTTTATAGGAATGGCACAAAACTTGATTTCCTTTTTAGAAGTCTTAGAACTTCCATAGCTCTGAGTTTTATCAACTGTAAAGACTGGGAATAACATTGGCCAATAAAATGAGGCTTAAATGTGGAGTACTAGCTAGGACAGTGTGCAATTCTAGTAGGTACTCGATAAATTGCTCTCAAACAAAACTTTTTTTTTTTTTTTTGAGTCCAGTCATGGGGCCTGAACTCTGGGCCTGGGCGCTGTCCCTCAGATCTTCAGCTCAAGGCTAGCTCTCTACCACTTGAGCCATAGTGCCACTTCTGGCTTTTTTCTTTTTGCTTATGTGGTGCTGAGGAATTGAACCCAGGGCCTCAGGCATGCAAGGCAAGTGCTCTACCACTGAGCCACCTTCCCAGCCCTCAGACAGAACTTTTTAATTGCTTGGCTTCTTCTTCAGTCAGTATTTGCCAAAGTGAGGAGGATAGATAACATACACATCTTAGTTTCTGTCACTTGTCCTAGAATGTTTTTTACAAATACGAAGGCTGAAACTGTAGGCTTAAGGCCTACGCTTGCTGCTTAAGAGCCTCCTCATTTCTAGGAAAGCAAACTGCCAAAGTTTTCTGACCTTCCTGCCCAGGGCAAGCTACGTTCAGTTTGGCTCTTCCTAACTGATCATAGCTTTGTTGAGTAAGATGAACTGCTTTGATTCCTTGTGATTGGTTAATGGTCTTATACTTGTGCTTGAAGGCATTTGAGCCACTTTAAAACCACAAACAAATAATTTGCTCCCCTTTAGGCCTCTTGCCCAAACAGTGAACACTAATAGGTATCCTGAGCCCTTTTTTTTTCCTTCTTTTTAAAGGGGACACAAAGTTTGACTCAGTCAACTGATTTCAAATGAGTTTTGTTTGAAGGCTTTGTGAAGCCTGGAGGAATAGAAATACCTTGAATATAGTAATAAAGATCAAGACACTGTTTCATTCAGCAGTCTTTTTAGTTTTTTCCTGAAGTGTGTGAGTGTGGGTGGGAGCTAACTTAGTTGAGTGAACAGCGAGCAAAATGGTAGAATTCAGCTCTGGTGATGTATAATGCAGGCTGCAGGTAAGAACTAAGACTGTGGGAAGAGGAGCACAGGCTCAACTCTGCACATTCTGATACAAGACAAAAGAATGAAAAGAAAAAATATATTTGCGTATATAAACCTTTAAAATAGATCTACAAAAACTTCCATTTCTGTGTTAAAGCATACTTGATCCCCCTCCTCCCTGTTTAAGTGCTACATATTTTCAAACAGGAATTTCATTAAAAATATTCTGTGTACAGTACCTGGATGCTCTTGCATTTGCCTGTGATAGATTTGCCTGGAATTAACAATAGGGTTTTCAGGAGTGGGGATCCTGAGGTGTTTGCCCTGGCATGCACACTCATTCCTCTGGCAGGTCGTGCAGCCTTAGAGCTCTTTGAGGCTGGGGGACTGGGTATCTATTTCAGTGATGATTAACGTCCAGAGTGGTGAGATAGACACAGATAAGCAGAGTGTGTTTGTTTGTTTTAAAATGATTGCACCTAAGAACTCCCGCCTTCCCCCCCCCCAATTTCTGGGCTAGGGAGCCCAGAAAGCATAAAGTTTCCTTTTCTAACTCTGAATGGAGAAGGCATTGCTTGCTTACTGGTCACATTTAAGGTCTAAACTGTGATTTTCAGAAAACAGTTAGCAACCCAAAGTAGCTTAGGCTTTCTCTTTCTCCTTTCTGTGTTACCTGAAAAGTCACTCTTATGTTCTCTAGTACACTGAAAGATTTCAGCATAGACATACCATCTTCAGCTATTTTGGAAAGGCTATTTATTTATTTTTGTGCTGGTCCTGGGGCTTGAACTTAGGATCTGGATGCTGTCCCTGAGCTTTTTTTTTTTTTTTTGTACAAGGCTAGCTCTCCACCACTTCAGCCATAGCTCCACTTCTCTTCAGGCTTTTTACTGTTTAAGTGGAGATAAGAATCTCATGGACTTAATTTCCCATGCTGGCTTTGAGCCATGATCTTCAGATCTCAGCCACCTGAGTAGCGAGGATAAAAAGTGTGAGCCACTGTGCCCAGCTAACACCTTCTTTTCTGGCATCTGTGAGTTAATAAAAATAGGGTTCAGTTTTCATGGTCACAGTAAGTAAAGCAATACACTTGTGGAGGCAGGAAATAATGGTTTAGTGCAGTCTCTTCCTTCAAATGCAGACTAGAAGGATGGAAAGTCCTTCTAAGCAGCAGGAATGAAGATGTTGCACTGTTCTTTCCAGGCTAATAGCATATGAATGCTAGGGATGAATTTCTTACTTTCAGGACAGAAATA